ATTTTTTGTAAAAGTACTTATGTACCTACATAGTTTTAGGCTGTGTTCTAATATATACACACACAGCTTTCCACGCGAAACTATACGAAATAGATGCAAAAACATTTTTGTCTACTTCGCTTCTAATTTTTTCATTGCGTATGCACAAGCACAAAGCAACAACATTTTCGTATGCTTTGTGGGAACATATTGGCGCCAGTTACCTTCAGCGTAAATTTCTTTGTTGTCCTGCATTTTATCGCAATGTTCGGGTGTCCGTTTCATTGTTACACAAATTTTCGGGTTAGCTGCGGGTGTCCGAGTGTGGTGTTCGCTTGTGCTCAATTTATAGCGAGGGTGATCGAACAGACTCGTTCGTAACCAAAGCAGCTGTCGGGTATGCATCTCGATCGAACACATAGTAGCCGAGTGTGGCGTTCGCTTGTGCTTGATTTTTAGTGAGTGTGATCAAAAAGGCTCGATCATACTCAAAGCTGTTCTCTGGTACACACGTTGTCACAAGCGAAAATGAAGAAAATTGCAATAAAAAGCCATCACCAAATTGTAAACAACGAAGAAATGTAATCAAACGGCTAATGTCAAAATCGTTCAACTTTTTTCCTTAATGCTATTCTAACGGGCTACTTTCCTGCCCGCGTAATCTTGTCTTTTTGGTTCATGGTACGGAGGTATCTGTACTCTTCCCCTCTCTTCCCTCCACCTTCACCAACGAACGAGCAGACTTGAAAACAAGACTTGACGTGTCTGAAAGGGGACTTACAATTCGTCCCCTCAATATAACAATAGCGTATGTGCTCATACGCCATTATTTTNACGGGCTACTTTCCTGCCCGCGTAATCTTGTCTTTTTGGTTCATGGTACGGAGGTATCTGTACTCTTCCCCTCTCTTCCCTCCACCTTCACCAACGAACGAGCAGACTTGAAAACAAGACTTGACGTGTCTGAAAGGGGACTTACAATTCGTCCCCTCAATATAACAATAGCGTATGTGCTCATACGCCATTATTTTTTTATTGCATATTTAGAATCTCCATCATTGATTCTATGTCTGGTCAAAATTTCGTCAAATTCTACTTCCACAAAGTGGGTCAAAATGTCATTGGAAAAAATGGTGTATAATTTCTTGTTCAAAAATTTCCTTCAAACAAAAAAAAAAACAAAAACTTTAAACTCGATTTTCTCAAAACCCAAAAAAAATTATACGCTATTGTTATATTGAGGGGACGAATTGGTCTTACAATACAGCCGATAGTATCGATAGTATTTTTTGGAACAACAAACCATCGATATATCGATANTTGGTCTTACAATACAGTCGATAGTATCGATAGTATTTTTTGGAACAACAAACCATCGATATATCGATAGTATCGTCGATATTTTTCCACCTCTATTAGTTGCTTTATTTTTCGCGTTTAAATACGAATAAATTGTATGTTAATTGACTAAATATAAATGTGACTTTTACAGTGCACTATGTTATCGCCAAGTAAAACATTTGAGATCCCAAAAGACTATGAGTTTCCGTTTATTCCATACGAAATCCAGCAGCAACTGATGGATGCGGTATACGATACATTGACGAAAAAAGCCATTGGCATCTTTGAGAGTCCAACTGGGACAGGGAAGTCGTTGACTTTGACGTGTTCTGTGCTTCGATGGCTTGAAGATCGGGAGGTAACTAAATAAATTAATAAATACAAAATAAATGTAAATTACTGCTTTTAAAGATCTTGGAACGCAAAGAATTGTCGGATCGTCTTTCGAGTGCTGAACTAGAAGTTAAACGTTTGACTAGTAACATTAATATGGCACATGACTGGATTACGGCTGGTTATGCAGCAACAGAGAAAAAGAAAGAACTTGAAAAATTGCTTAGATGTCAGCAATTATTACAGATTCACGACGAACGCTTGGGAGAAATGCGTGAGCGGCAAGCTGTACTGCACAAAAACCGACGAAAAGTTATCAGCAAAATATCAAAGGTAACAAATGATGCAAGTCTAGATAATAAGTTATCGGAAACTTCAGATTGGGACGAAAAAGCTAGTGATGCTATAATTCAAGATCAGGAAATGGAAAGAGAAGAGGAATTTCGTCCAATCCAGGTGAGAAAAAATAAAGTATTGAAATAGTTTTCATACTTATTTTGAAGTGATACATTATTATTGTGACTAAGTAAAAGCCTCCCAAAGTATTTCTGGGCAGGATTGTGTCCTCATATACGTAAGGTGTTTAAATATTTTACGCATCTTCTAATCTCTTGTTTTGAACAAAATTCATATACCACATAAATGCAAACAATACTTTTTTTCTCAAACTTTCATTTTGAATATCATTACTAGGTATTTTTCTGCAGCCGTACACATTCTCAACTCGCACAAGTTGTAAGAGAAGTCAAACGTACACCGTACGGTTGCCGAATACGTTGTGTTTCATTGGCATCGCGGCAACAGCTATGCATAAATCCTCAAGTACGGAAATTAGCAAATATGAATCTCATCAACGAACGTTGTCTCGATATGGCGCCTAAAAATAAAGAGGCTAACAAAAATACTACATCTAAATGTTGTGAATTTCGCAAAACTACTTTAGTGCAAGGGCTTAGCGAAGTTGCTTTGTTCAATGTAATGGACATAGAAGAATTGGTTGGGGAAGGTGAAAGTTTAAAAGCGTGTCCATACTACGCATCAAGGGAAGCTGCAAAATCAGCACAACTAGTAATGCTTACATATCAGATGCTTTTGCATAGACGTACGCGACTTCAGATGGGCATAGAGTTAAAAGGTGCTATTGTCATTGTAGATGAGGCGCATAATCTCTTAGATACCATCTCTCAATTGCATAGATGTGAGTTAACTTTGCAGCAACTTTTACTAATCCAACAACAAATCAGTGCATATAAACTGTGCTACTTAAAACGATTCAGTGCAACCAGCCTGCTAAATATTAACCAATTGATATTTGTGGTGAAACGGCTTGTAAAACTAATTCAAACGGGTGCCCCAAATTCAAAGAAGCAATACATGCCAGTTTCCAGAGTTCTTCGAACCTATGAGCTCACAGCAGAAGGCGAGTTTTACAATATCGATTTGTACCTACTGCTGCAATTTTGCGATAGATCTCGATTAGCGCAAAAATTGCAAGGATTTGCGGAGAAAACTGACTGTTCAAATTTAAAAGATGGCAGTGCTGTTGAAGGTTCTGCAACGAAGCAACTTCTCATACAAATCGAAACTTCACAAAAGAAGGATCTTAAAAGTCAAGATGTTCTCGAGAGTGTAGAGGATGCAAATATTACAAAAACGAATAAAACTGCAGAGAAAAAAATGTCGATTAGTGTTCCATTCCGTTCATTTTTGTCTTTCCTCGAATCATTAACCGAAAATGCAGAGGATGGGCGAGTTATTTTACATTTCGATGCAACGGGTGACTCTAAGAGTAGCATGTACAAGTACATTTTGTTAAATCCAGGTGCACATTTTGCGGATGTCGTTCAGGATGCGCGAGCTGTAAGTATTCAATAGTAAAATAAATTAGTAAATTAATATCGCTTTTTATACAGATAATAGTCGCTGGCGGTACAATGCAGCCTACCAGGGAATTAACGCAACAACTCTTTAGTGCTTGTCCAAATCGAGTGCGGGAACATATTTATAGCCATGTCGTTCCACCCGATGCTGTATTACCACTTGTCGTTGCACAAGGGCCAACAGGTCGGCGTCTTTGCTTCAATTATACAGAGCGAAGTACTGCAGATATGGTAAAGTAGTAAAATTCATTATATTCCCGGAAACGTATCCGAAAATGGAAACAATTTCGTATAAAAACCTCAAACGTATATGCAGAAAACTATCAAAATGGTTGTAAAACGGATGCGCTTTCGGATGTTTTCCCGAAATTTTTCGTTGAAAACGATTTCTGTGTGTGTTGCTTCTGACGGAATTCGAACCTGGGATCTCCTGAAAGCTAAAAAATCGTAGCACACTTCTCTGCACACTCAGCTACTGGTGAATACGTATAAATCTGTGTTCATATGGAAAAGTAGCTTATGTCGAAAGGCTGGCTTTAGTATAATGCGGCATTCCCTTTACTCTTTAAACGGCAAGGAATTTTTTGATGAGACTTAATAAGAATATTGACTTGCTAGTATCGGAACTACTTCTTGCACGTTTATTTGGCAAAAGTTCTACAACAGCTCAGCGCCAGTGAGTCATTCGCAATCGTATGCTGCGAATGCCGATTTATACTAAAGCCAGCCTTTCGACATAAGCTACTTTTCCATACGAACACAGAAATGTTTTCAAATGCTCAGTTTGAACAAATATTTTAAGATTATTGTTTTGAAATAAGATGATGACATTTTTCGGATACGAAAAATTAACAAATATGAAAATCGTTTTCTGAACGTTTCCGGATACGAAAAATGTACGAAAACTGCACTGTCAGCAAAAAGTATGTTTCTCAGCAGGCTGGGTCATTTATGGGTTTTCTTGGTATATATTTTAATTCACAAAAAAGTAGGGATAAAATTTGAAAATTTAAAACTGGGTCGAAATCGGGTAAAATAAATTAATATTAAGAAAATGGGTGTTAAACAAGCTTTCTAAATATAAACCGAATCGGACCATAAATACGGGGTTTCCAAATGTCTCGACCTCTGCACAGTGTTAGGCATAGATCAATTAATTTCGTATAATCCATCTTGATACCCTGATACACTAGTGTATAACTTTGCTTATTAAAATAAACGTTGCAAGAGGCCTGGCAAAGGTGACGAACAGTCCCTTTATAAGCTGCGCCCAAAAGTAGTTGCCGTACTACAAACTCGCTGAAATTTTTTTATATATGGTCTATTCTGAACTTAGCAATGGTTTTGCGCCACCATACTACAGCAGAGTACGTGGCGATTGGTCTGGCTAAAACTATATATACTTGGAATACCATATCCGGTCTCAGACCATAGGTCTTTCTAATTATCTCTTCCGCGTAAACAAGACTACCATTGTCTTGATGCAATTGACAGCAATACCATGCAAAGTTCACCATTCCCACGACAGTCGGGTCTACGTAACCGTAACGACCCAGATTTATAACTGGCCAAGGACTGTCACTCCAGCAACATTCGCCAAAAACCCTTTGGGGAACTTGTATGATGCTACAACAACAACAACAAAGTTCACCATTCATCAGTTTTATTCAGGGTTCTCTATGTCTTAACGCAGACCTCTCAGGCCTGTGTAGTTGACATTTTTAACCGTTAATTTTTAATAAAATTCGCAAAACAAAAACTAATTAATTGCTAACTGCAGAAAACAATTTATTAATTAATTGTTAATTGTTATTATTCACTACAATTACCAATTAATTAATTGTTAGTTGTTATTCTCCACAATTACAATTAACCAACTGGTAATTAATTGTTAATTGTCCTTGCAATTAAAATTTGCCCAACACTACCTCTGCACCACATATCAGTAACATTTTGTTGGTGTTATTCATTTTCATGCAGGTAATATATACATACATATGTATTCAAATATAAACAAAATCAGATAAACTATATGTATTCAAATATAAACAAAATCAGACCATAGATGCAGATTTTTGGAATACATCGACCCCGCGCCACCGTCTAAATTTTTTGTGGAGTTACATATTTCCTTTAATGTAGGTAATATATTTGCATACATTTCGCATTATAAGTGTGTTCGTTTCTACGACAGTCGAGTCTAAATTTCAGACAATTAATTAATAAATATCGTGGGGCCGGCAAATACAAACGTTTCCCGCGATACCTTGAACTTTAAAATTGGACAAGATATTCATGCCTATTACGGTATCCGACGGATGCCATCCGCACGGATCTAATCCGATTCGCACTGAGTGTGAAGGATTACGTTCGTGCGAATGCCATCCTTCGGACCAGAATTGGCATGTATCCTACGGATGTCATTCGCATGAATTTAATCCTTCACACTCGCTTATTATGACAGTGCGATGCGGATAAGATCCGTGCGGATGGCATCCTTCGGATACCGTTATAGGCATGAATAATGAGTTTTTAAGTTTCCGTGAAACACGCATTAAAAACTTACCGCAACAAGTACTCATGTAATCATTTTCAGTACCTTAAGTGACTTTCGTCTATAATAGAAATTAATAAAAAAATACAATTTTGGGATTTACCTTAGAAGCAGCAAAAATTAAAATATTATTTGGATGACTGCATTTTTTACTGTAAGTGAGGGTGGAAAGTAGCCCAATCATGCTTACTTTTCCATCACTGAAACACAGGCATTTTTATCTTATAACATATTATTACGAATTATTTTATAGTTCATCCCTAAAATTAGTTCTGGTAGACAAGAAATATTTCAATTACATGTAAATCCATAAGTATCTAAATAAACATTAATAAAACATATAATATTCTTAATTTTTACGATATTTTGCAGATCACAGAATTGGGAATGATTGTTCAAAACGTTTGCAGTGTAATACCAGCGGGAGTGGTTTGCTTTCTACCATCTTACGAATATCTTGATATTGTATATAGTCACTTACAAAAGAGTGGTATATTAGAGAGAATATCTTTGAAGAAACGTATATTCTCTGAGACGCGTACAGGTTCCGGTTCATCAGTAGAGAAACTTTTAGATGATTACAGCGCCGCAATAAAATCGAATAATACAGGTGGAGCATTACTTTTCAGTGTTGTTGGTGGAAAATTGAGCGAAGGTCTAAACTTTGCAGACGATTTAGGGAGATGTGTAATTGTAGTTGGTTTGCCCTACCCAAATCTACAATCTGTCGAGTTACAGGAGCGCATGCGGTATTTAAATGAGACACTTGGATCAGGGGCAGGAAATGAATATTATGAAAATTTATGCCTAAAAGCTGTCAATCAATGCATTGGCCGGTCTGTACGACACATTAATGATTATGCTTGCGTACTACTAGTAGACGAGCGATATTGCAAGGAAGGTATACAAGCCAAGTTGCCACAGTGGATAACTCGTAGTTTGGAAATTCCGAAGACTTTTGGAGCTGTACAGGCTGCTACTGCTAGATTCTTTAAGCACATTAAAGACAAGAAATCTATATGACATTCAGTGGCTTAAGTATTATTTATACTGTTGTTTAATTATTAGTATGTGTTTTAATTATATATGTACATATTTATGTAGAAGAGATCATGTCGACGCCTCCAAACCATACTATGCTAAGTCTTATCAAGTCTAAAGTGACAGCGCATGCTATGGTTTGGAGGCGCCGATATAGTCCATGAAAAACTGTTGTGTCACCCATTTTCAAACTTGTGTGAAGAATTCTTTGAGTTTGTATATGTGTTTAAAAATGTGTAATAATATTACAAATGTATTATGGTCTTAAAACCCAACTATTGGTGCCATACCATAGCCATAACCATATCCATATCACTTATCTGTTCTGATCAAACGTATGGGCCATAACCATAAGCAGGTGTGAAGCATTTGACGAAGTTATGGCTATAGCGTTATGATTATGGCACATCAAATTGGACATTTATTCCTAAAAAATTAAATATGTAGTTTTAAAAAACTTTATAAAGTGACATTTTCATAAAACTTTTCGATTTACAAATCGTTATAAATCTTTTTTATTTTTATGAATTTGGTTGTTCTGTTTAATAAGTTTTTTTCGCATTTGTATATACAGTACAGATTATTATAATAAGTATATGTACATATGTATATGTGTGTAAGAATACTTATGTGACGATTCAGAAATGAAAATTGTTCAAACCTTTTTACTATAAGTTAGTATTAATAAAATAAGTAATGCACTCCGTTTAATCTAAATAAATTCTTGAAAAAATTATGTATGATATACATTTTATGTGTGATAATGGTTATGCATATTGTGTGATAATGTTTATGGGGTGTTCCATACCAAAACGGACGGGGTTCACACTTCTTTTGTTTGATTTGTTTAAAATTTTTAGAGTTGATGCATTAACATAAATAATAAATAAATATGAAATTTGAGCTTAATTAATACATTTTTTAAAACTTTACAACAAAAACGTCGATTTAGTAGTTTTCCAAATATCTCGAGAAAGGGGCGAGGAAAAAAATTAAAAAAACATCACACATACACAACGTTAAAATTCTCTGTGAAAAGAAATATTTAAAAAAAAATCTCTTGAAAATTTTTTCACATACACATGNATTAAAAAAACATCACACATACACAACGTTAAAATTCTCTGTGAAAAGAAATATTTAAAAAAAAATCTCTTGAAAATTTTTTCACATACACATGTTTTGATAAAAAAATTAGTTTTTGAAAATATGCCATCTCAAAAAAAAAAAAAACTAAAAAAACAATGGTAGCTCTGAGTATTGCGCAATATTTAAGTAAAGTATTATGGGGTACACTCTACAATAATTTGAGTTATGATTTTTTTTTACAAGTTAAGTAAAATATGTAAGTATATTACTAATTTAAAATTTTTTTTAAATTTTTTTAGAATTGTTTTGAGATGGCAGTTTTGTAGCCCATTAAATTTTCGTATAATAAAGGGCAAGTTTTAAGCGATGGCAGAACTGGCGTTAATTTTTTTTAATTGTCTTTGAAAACGGTTTTGCGCATTTTCTTCCATAATAAAAAAGTGCCATAAGCAGTATAAAAAATATTAAAAATCAACGCAATTTTGCAGTAGCTTAAAACTTGCACTTTATTAAACTAAAATTTAACGGGCCACACACCTGCATACTAAAAAAAGTGTAAATTTGTAATTACTCATTTTACTCAACTTGTGGCGAAAGTGAGTAAAAAACGTACTCGAGCAAAAGAGAAGGCACGCCCCTGTTACTTACTTTCGCTACAATTATAACGAGTTGTCCCTTCTTGTTATCTACGTTCTTTGATAATATTATACTTAAATATTGTGCAATAATCTGAGCAACAATTTTTTTAATTTTTTATGAGATGGCAAATTTTCAAAAAACTAACTTTTTTTTTATCAAAAAATGTGTATGTGAAAAGTTTTTCAAGAAAAAAAAATTTCAAAAATATTTCTTTTCATAGAGAATTTTGATGTGTGCATGTATGACTTTTTTTTAATTTTTCCCTCGCGCCGTTCTCGAGATATTTGGAAAACTATTAAATCGGTTTTTTTTTACTTTTGTGCTGTAAAGTTTTTAAAAATGTATTAATCAAGCTCAAATTTCATACTTATTAATTATTTATGTTTATCCATCAACCCTAAAAATTTGAAACAAATCAAACACATGAAGTGTGAGTCCCGTCCGTTTTGATATATTGCGTGTAATGGCCGTGTACTTATATTTCATAAATGCTTTTAAATTTTGTTTCACAATCCTGCTTGCATTGGCAACCCTGTGCGTCAAGTGAACATAAAAACGTGTACGCGCTGAAAATTGCGAAAACTCATTGTAAAAATTGAGGAAAAAAGCGCAACTTACCAAAAAAGTGAAGTTGAACGTTTGCTTAAGTGTTGACTTTTTGATATTTGGCGAGTGCGCGTAATTTTAAGACCGAAATTGATTTCCCCAAAAGTGGTATAACAACATATTGATGGGGGAAACTTTCCATTATGGCCGTTCGTTAAAGGTGCGGTGGGCGAAGGGGGAGTGGGCGTGGCACCTCCAACCGACTATTTTGGAGAGGGCATGAACCGCCATTGACAAAAATGCAACCCCCGACCACCTACGCCCCCTATAGTTCCCTACGGACCCCTTAGAAAAATGGCCAAAAATCGCAATTTTTACTTGCGTCCACAGTATTTTTGCGTGGAATTCATTTCTGCGTAGGCGGCCTTCGGCCGCGCTTAGGGATTATAACCCTTACTACGTAGAATTCTCCTTTCTGTGTGACCTAACTGAAGTGATGTAACCTTGGGAAAGGATGAGGTAACTAGAATTCCCTTTCTGTGTGGTAAACCTGGGGCTGCCGCCCCAGTGATGTCTATTTTGGTTACTGGGTGTTTTATAAAAATGTCTTGTATATAAAAATGTATTGTACAAATGAATATTTAACATTTTTCAAGCGCATAAACGCAAATGAAAGTTGTGATTTTTGGCAATTTTTCTAAGCGGTCCCTAGGGAACTATAGGGGACCTAGGTGGTCGGGGGTTGCATTTTTGTCAATGGCGGTTCATTCCCTCTCCAAAAAGGTGGGTTAGAGGTGCCACGCCCACTTACCTTTCGCCCACCGCCCCTTTAACGAACGGCCATAAAGGAAAGCCAACCCTATTGATGCAAATATTCATCAAGGTGAAAGGCCAGAATAATGATTTTGTAATTGGCTGTGTTTACATATACCTATGCCACCCTCTTCATCTATCTATCTATTCTCAGACCACATCCCAGCCATAAATCGTATAACGGACAAATACCCTAACTCGAAAGTTCTAATCTTGGGTGACTATTATCTTCCAAGTAGCTCGCAGTCAAATGACTGCACCAAACTTGTATACGAAGTTTCTACCTTTCCAACTTAGCAATGCTAACGATCGCATCCTCGATTTATGCTTCAGTAATACAGATGCAAGCGTAGACAAAATCTTCCCCATCGTTGATTAAGATAAGCATCATCCGGAAATTGGAGTAAACATAGTCTTTCAATCAAGTCTGAAGTCCAACTGCGCGCCCACCTTCTCATTCAAAAAAGCCGACTATGTATGTATCCCTAGATAGATCTATACAAAATCGACTCAATTGACGATAAGGCCAATGTGTTTTATGATATATTTAACACAGGTCTAGTTCAGATTGTGCCGATGTACACAAGGAAGAGTAATAACCAGGGAACGGATTTTTAGGACCTAAAAACCTATAAAAAAGGCAAAATAAAATAACGAAATAGGCTGGAAAAGGCAAAATAAAATAGCGAAAAAGGCAGGAAAAGGCACTAGGTATTGCAAAAAAAGCAAAATAAGGCACTAAAAAAAGACAGAAAATACGAAGATCCATCAAAAAATACATTTATTTTAGAAATGTTTATATTACAAGTACAAAGAGAAAAACTATGAACTAGTTTCATTATATGAAAAATTTGTACTTTGAATCTTTGACTATTTTATCCTTTCGAGTTTCTAACTCATAAAACTTTAATCTGTATAGTTGTAGTAACATTGAACCACAAGATGCATTTTGAAGTTTTCTGGCAGCATTTTCATTCGATTTTCGCGAAGAAAAGCCTTGAATGAACGGCCATAATGGAAAGTTTCCCCCGTTCTTCAACCAAATTTTGAGATAGGGCATTTTTCAAAAATATTCTGAAATGGGGCGTTTTTGAAAAGTTTTTTGAGATAGGGCGTTTTCGAACTGGCTGCCGAGACAGGTCGATCTTCATTCCCACGACAGCCGGTTCTACGTACCGGAATGACTCGGGTTTCACCCGACCAAGGGCTGTTGTTTCGGCGATCTAACCCCGTTTAGGTCGGCGAAGTATCTCAGAAGTTGTCCGTCCATAGGGCAACATTCACTACGCATTCTCCTACTCAAGGCTGGCATCGAGTCAAACCCTGGGCCAGAAATATACACCTGCTGTGTATGCCGAAGACGATTACACCACAACTCCACCTCAGTCAAGTGTAATGCCTGCGAGGGGTGGAGTCACCTCAGGGTCTGCTCGGGACTACGG